CAAATTGAATGACGACGAGAATCCAGATTCGCAACAAGATTAAGCACAAGGAGTTCTTAAATTAGAACTTATTGCATCGTTAAGGCGCAGTCTCACAGAACGCAGGAAGAGGCCGTGACACACTTGCCGATTACAATTGCTAATATCGACAACTCGCATTTACCCTACATCACATGAATAATTACTTTACTCTTTAGTAACAGATTACTCTACTTAGCCTCAGAGGTTGTGGAATGTGAGTTTGTTTCTTTGTAACGCTGTAAATACCTTAATTATTTGACCGATTATTGGTGCTAATTCTGTGTTTAGTTTTGTTTAGAGAGTTTTCGAACACGAAAACTCTCTAAAATAAACTAAAAATCACTAAAAATTTGTTTAGAACTGTCAAGTATTACGTTTTCAGAAGACGAAACGTTATTTGACTAAACAAAATTTTTAGTGATTTTTAGTTTAGTTTAGAGAGTTTTCGAACAACAGAATTAGCAGCAGTATCTAATTTTAAACATATTTTAGGAGGTAGAAAAAACCTATTAATCCCGACCATAGGGAATTGAATTATTTGATATACAGTCAAACCTGGATAAGCGAGAGTTCAAGGGAGCACAATCTCATTCTCGCTTATAGAGGTTTCTCACTAACCCGAGTTTCTCGCTAATGCAGGTACATGGGTAGCGTTTCTCTCTTATAGAGGTACGCAGCAATAACAAGTCACAGCAAGTACGAATGTAGTAAATATATTGACGAGAATACAAAAACAATGGTAGGAAGTTCCACGAAAGTTAAGAATGAGTCATAAAATAGCACATGATAAATTTGTAAATAAAGCTCGACTGTCGCTTATAGAGGTATAGATAAGTAGTAGTCTCACTTACGGAGGTCTATGAGGGAAAAACGACTCTCTCTTACAGAGGTTTCTGTTTCTCGCTAATAGAGGTTTTGGGAGCTTAAAATGATGGGTCCTGGCTATTACTCTCACTTATAGAGTTTTCTCACTTATCCAGTTCTCACTTATCCAGGTTTGACTGTAATCGACTTTATTAAAATAGAAGCCATGGAGAAAACTACTGTAAATCACAGCTTTGATGTCAGATCGTAAGCCTGACGATTTGTTAATATAATGACTTAATACTATTGGTATATATTACTGCAGAGACATTTGTAAATATTATGTCATTAGCCGAGCCTTTTTCATAAACTAGGTTGGGATAGGCTATCTACGTGGTGAAGGAGCGGGCCGGCGCTAGGAGGGGTCCGGATGTCCTAATAACAGCTGTTCCCGGATCCCTTCTATTACAGGCGCAGAGTGGCACACCGTGTGGTTTTAGTCGGTCCGATTCCGACACACCACGACGCCGTAAACTCCGGTGAGGTGACGGCCCGAGGGGGTTTCCACGTAACACGTAAAAAAAAAAAGGCTATCTACATGGAGCGACTGCAATTAGACCGCAGCAAAACACAAGTATTAGGCGATATCGAAGATCTGTAGATATACTGTTTTCGGACTTTTTATGGGTCGAACTATCCTACTATAACTACTAACATACATATAACTACTAAAATAAACATAACTACTAACCAATGGCTTAACTTGCTCTCCGAGGAATACATCACAGAAGTTTGTAAATATTATATATTAAAGAGATTAAAGACTCCCGTTATCCAGCTTGAAGTGTTTTAGATTGAGACCAGCATTGCCAAATAAGTGTTGATGTAGCATTCAATCAGAATGCTGAAAACTTCAAAAATAACCATGACACACTGCCTCAGTGCTTAATAAATTAAATGTAACATACTGATACAATCAATGTTTATTTTCGTCTGTGCATCTAAACGTTGAGAATCCTTCGAGAAAGAATGGCGCGTAATTATCATAAATATAATACCTAATAATACACTACTACGAATAACTCATTACATTATACTTATGATTCAACAATTTGGTAATTTATACAATATTTTACGGTTTCATAGGTGTTAAAATTACTTGAGCCACCTGACGCACATTCATCTAATCCTTAACCAGACAGACTGTTGATAAACATACCTACCTATATATTACCAAATACAAACACATAAATTACACTCAGACATGGATTAACCGATTATGCTCTTTATAGAATTACTTTTACTTAGGTTGAAATTCAACTGGCCTGTTGGTCTGTCCACTGCTGTACATGGGCCTCTCCTTAGAAAATAGGTTTTGGCCTACTATACCACGCTGGCCAGAAGGGTTGGTATAGGGTTTGTGTAAAGTTTGCCTTCTTTTTGCAGCGTTGTTGTCCTGCATAGTTTACTCACTTAGTCAGCTCTCACGACATCCACGGGATGAATATGGGTGGTGACACTGTGTATTCTTAACCTATATAACTAGTTTTACAGAGGAAAGAAATTACACAATGGGAACTGCAGAATTAATAATATTGTACCACATTCACACAACGCAATCTAGTCCCAAACTAAGCAGAGCTTGTACTATGGGTACTAGACAACTGATACAAATATGTACATGTATTGTTTTTTTTTGTAAATACATACTTATTATACATAGAAACATCCAGACCAAATCAAACATTAAATGTTCATGCACACAAATGTTTGAGTTGAGCAGGAATCGAACCCGTGACCTATGGAATAGCAGTCCGTTTACACAAACCACTACGCCATTCGGTCATCAGTTCTTATATAACTACAGTCATTCTCGCAGTCACTTAGCTATTGTGTCTGCTGTTAGATAATAAGATAGATAAGCATTACTTGCTCTGTACCTAATCTTCATTGCTTCAAGTGCTTTTATCTTTTGTTCCTATGTATATTTATCTAAATGCCAATAAATTGGAACTTTGAACACAATAATGTACATTTTATTTCAATAAATTAATTTATAGCTATTATTATCTAATAACTTTTGTTATCTTACCAAGTACTTTTATTTTCTAATATCAAACAATGTTGTAAATTTGATAAAATTACCTACTTAATGGTTTTGAAATTAAAAAAAATAGCAATAAGATTACTTTATTCCATATGGGATAGATCTCTGTGTCTAATATGAATTTATTATAATTAATTCATTCCTAAAAGAATAAAAAGTTTTACATTTCACACAGTCTTTCAATATTTACCTTCCCTCCATTTATGGTGACATAAGAAATGTAAAAAAATGGAGGCACAGGCATAAACAAATATAAGGCCAATTATGACGCCTAGTCTCAGTGTGACTCATAACTACATGATGTCATACAATACTTACAAGTGTTTTCAAAATAAACAATTATGTCATTAAAGTTAAGAGAAAATAGCAATTTTCTTTTTATTAAAAAAATATAATTGAGACACTTCGAATGCACATTTAATATTCTGACATTTATTTTTTATAGTATTTATTCTAACAGCTGTAAACTTTGCATATCTGTAAACTTTGCATATCTGTAAACTTTGTTTTGGTTTATCTTGAGATCTTAATAACATATGGTACAGAGTTTTTTAATGACTAGTGACATTTGAAACTGGATGACACAAGATCAGCCAGATAAAGTAGTGTTCAATACAAAAAAAAAAATTTAATAAAATATAATATAGTAGAGTAATATCTATGAATGATTATTTCATTTTCATAGTTCTGAACAAGGCAATAACACATATTTAAAAAAGCAAATATAGAATATCACTCTGACAGTATTGAAACAGGTGTGAACAGCAAGGCCTACCTACTGCTATGGTTAAAACAAAGCCCATACAGCATATTTACTAAATTGTTTTGTGATAAATTTTAATCAGAATTACTTTTTTGGATATCTATTATAAAATCAATAGAGTAAAATTCTAATGCTGTATATAAACAAATGAATAGGCATATGTTTATTTTTACGCATGCTGACTAATGTATTAATAAATAATTGTACAACTAATGGATTCGTGTCCATATTGACTTTTAAGATAATATACACCAGCTGTTACATGAACTTTAATTTCTTTCGAATTGCCTTGAAAAGATTATGAGTATAGAATTCAAATCGACCCCACACCATGCCGTAAAAAAGATCGAATGTTGTTTCTACTTAGTATTAGCGAGAGAGAATTCCATTTAAATGTATGTAGTTGAAGGGTTTGTTTTGAAGAATACGTGTCAATATAGATAAAAATAAATAAGGTGTTACGTTAAACACAGGAAAAACTCACCTCAAATGCAAATTATCGATAAAGGTATCGGTGGTCAAATTGTCCAATAGAACAAAGTCGGACACACCGACTTCTGGCTGGGTCGCCATCGTTTATTATATACTTTGCAATCCACCACAACAATGAATGTTCACACACAATTCATTCAATGTAAACGTTAAAGTTTTGTCAACAAACCGTTAAAATGAAAATAAACTGAAACACAACCTCTTCCCCCAGGCACTTTGTTCAAACTGTCAGTTTTTTAAATTTATTCAAGCTGTCAGTCGTTTTGTAAAACTTGCCATTAAAAAATATTGAAACTTTTTAAAAGTTTGACGAGGTTAACAGTGCATTTTAAAATCATCTTTTCTTGCAGATACCTAAAAAGAAAATGTATACAACATTGTAATTATTTTAAAATTCAACAATTATTCTTGTGCCTGAATAAATTCATTCTACATCGTTTTTGAACTGAGCACACTCAAAACGCCGCCATTTTCCTTGTTGTAGGTGCCTCAAATGTCATAATAATTTTAATTTTCATGTAAAATAAAATTTTCTTTAATTTTTTATGTTATTTCCTTAATTTATTTCTTTAAGTAACAATATATACATGTATTTATAAGTTTTAACACTGAGCTTGTATGTAGTGGATAAGCTCGTGACAGTGGGTCGAGTTGTAATTTCAAGGATTCTCAAAGTCCTACAATGAGGATCATCTTCATAAAAGGTAGCAACAGCGTTACGCCCACAGAGTGAAGATAAAAACGTATGTGGTTGTATTCACATGGTGATGAGAACGCGAAGTGTGGTGAAAGTGCGCGTATATTGATGGGACAATGAGCGATTCTCCAGGCGTGGAGTGGCTCCCCGCGTTTAGCCCTGGCCCGCCACGCCACAGCCCGCTGGGCCCTATCCCTCGCTTCCTATATGAGGATGTACAGCCACTCGGCCTGTCGCAGGAAAATAATAACAAAGAAGCGGACCAGAAAGAGAACACGAATAAAATAAAACACGCGAAGCCTGCGTACAGGTAAATGATTTTTAAATTGCGTGAACTTGAATACTTCCTAATACGTATAAGTGCGTCAACTCTAATGTATGTGACCCTTAAAATGATGAGTAATGAATTTCAATATTTCTGTGAATTTGACAATTATATTTTTTAATGCTGACCAAGGCTTTGGAAACACACTTGGGTACACATTATTGAACATTATCTGTTAAACATCATGAGCACTGTAAGAGCCACTTTACTAGTGTATATAAATATTATTTTTACCTTGAAAATTACATTTTGATGTTTTTTTTTTAAATACTGACATTAAAGAAATGTCAATAACAAAATGCAGTTTTGTAGTTCTCTTAGTAAACTTATTTTTATAAGGTAATTTAGTGTTGCTTAAATATCCTACCTTTAAATAAAACAGTTAAGTCTCTTACAAGAGATATTAATTCACTTAAGATTAATTCACTGCTGGAAATAAAATTCTTTTTTTTTGTTTTCAGTGACAATTCAGTAATGTCTAATATAATGCCATCATAAATTTGGGCATCCCACTTTTCTTGGAACAACAATAGTCTTATAATTTGTAAATATAATGTTTTGTTATAAAAAAACCCATATCCCATAAAATAAAAATATTTATGGTTACCCAACCTCTAGCAATGTGATATCTAGACCACTAAAATAATTATAAATTTGCTAATGTATATTGTGAATAGAATGGTCTGATCCAATCCTGGATAGCCCAAAAATGTGGCGGCATATCTTTTAGACAATATCTACATTTTTACAATGAAAGTAATGTCTCAAACAAATGCTATTCATTAGAATTCTTCTCCGTTCTACAGAAGGTTACTCTTAAAACAATGAGTTAGATCCCAAAAAGTCAGGGATGACTGACATTGTTCGTGTCCGACATGCCACCGACAGGTGGTATCCGAGGGGATTTCCGCACGGAAAAAAAAAAAGGGGGATGACTGACATAGTGTTAGTGCTGCCACTATGTGGAGTGAGTTCAGGTGACTTGTCAAATTGTTCCTACTATGTGGCTGTATCCCTTGGCGTGCAGTTTTTAGTAGGTTAAAGTCTGACATAACCACAACTGTCCGGTGGGTGGTCTCCGAGAGGTTTCGAGGGTCCGCATAGAATAAACGGTTACTTGTTGACTTGTTTCTCAACAAAGTATTAAGCAATTGTAATTTTTTAATAGAAACTTCTTTGTAAAACCTTTAAAAAATTATGTGTGAACTGTACTAATCAGTCAGTAATTTAATCAAACTTAGTTACAAAGGTGAACATAGTTTCTTGACATATTTATTATCTTACTTTATTGCAGGTGTCTCAAAAATACCACTTAATTCAAATGTTTATATCTATGTTTTGGTATTAAGCAAAAGACTTATGTATGATATGAAACAGTGAACGGTCTGATAAATTTGACGATGTTATTATATAAAAGTAATTACTTAGTTAAAAAGAAGTCTATGTCCTTCCTCTAAAATCAAATTATCTCCATACCAAATTAAATCCAAATCGGTTCAGCAGTTGTGGATTCCCCATACATAAATTCACCCCCCTTTTCACCCCCTTATGGGATGCCTTCTGCAAAAACTATCCTATATCCTTTCTCGTCACTCAAACTATCTCTAAAACAAATTTCATCTAAATTGGATCAGGGGTTTAAGCGTGAAGAGGTAACAGACAGAAAGACACACTTTTGCATTTATAATATTAGTATGGATAATTCATGGAACATACACATAAATCAGGCAACTCTATAGCTATGGTTAGAAAAACAAAATCCTACACCCAAAACTAGCACACAATGTGCTACAAAAGAATATTTCTCAGGAACGCCTCTAAGTTTGTATTTAATTTTTGTAAACAAAAAGAAGTCGCAGGGTGAGAGGTTCGGTCTGTAAGGCGGCGTCATCAGTTCCACATTTGAAGCCTTCAAATAGGCTTCTGTTACCTTAGTGGAATGTGAGGATGCGTTATCGTGGGGAAGGAGGGCATTGCCTCGAGGACGCTTTTCGCTAACTTTTTCTAAGACTAAGCAAGCAAGTGTTGACGTACCAATCTGCAGTCAGTGCCCTTTGACCAGTGTGCGTTACCCCAGCAAAATAATGTCGAAAATGGTCATTTAAACGTTATAGATAATTAGTTGCTCCCCTTCTGTAATTGTTAAGCACATTTTTAAATTTGTTTCACTTAAACTTTTTTAGTTATTTCAAAAAAACATTTCCTGCTGGGGTAACGTTTGAAACGTTACCGCAGCCAGACATTTTCTTTTTTAATTGTAATATTGAAATAAATTTTAGCTAAATAATTAGTTATCTGGACTAGGTAAATGTTACAACTTATTTGGTATTTGTATTTTCTTCGGCTGCGAAGTTATTCGAAATCCTGCTGGAGTAACGTTTGTGGGTTTGCTGGATCTCTGAAACGGGTAAGCGGATTGTAACCATCTTTTGTACATAACTTCTTAAGGATTAGTTTTAATTTGTTCGACAATAAAATTACAAAAATAATGGACCGTTTAAAAATTATTTAGGTAAGTATGAAAACACTTCAATACGTCCTAACACTTTAAATAAGACCTCTAAAGACTTACTTGAAACGTTATTCTATTGCTTGTAACTACCTTCAAATGTATACGAATTTTCGTAGGAATACTGTAAGTGACTAAAAAGTTATGATGAAATGTAGCTCTCCACGTTCACGATCACAATGTGTGCGGCCTTTTTTGGCCACCGATAAACCTGTGTGTGGATATATAATCTGAATGTTATGCCAATAATTAGTTGTTTAGTTCAGTTGTCTACCTGTAGAATTTCAGCGTCGTACATATAATAATTTACGAGATAATTAAATAAAAGTCATTAGAAGGTGCAAGTCCGTGGTAATCCGACCATGTTTAGGTGGTTACAAAAAAGCGATCACCCAGTACATTGCGCTGTCTTTTAAAATATGTAGGATATTATTTGCAAGTTTACTACTTATATGTACATAAGTGTTACAAAAAACTACATGTTTTTAAATATTTTTTATTTAGGATTGTTTATTGCATAATTAGTAATCAGCCGGGAGATTAGGTATTGTTTTGAATGCTTTTGTTTTCTCGTAATGTTTAGGTGAATTGTTTATAGTTGTTCATAGAATTGGTACCTGCGTAGTATTTGTTAATTGAAGTTTAATTTTAGGGTAGGTATAGGTAATTTAAGAAATATGAAATGAAATGAAATGATAAGTTTTGAAGAGTATAACGTACTTATGCGTTGTAAATAGGTATTTTGTGAATAGATGGGGATTTTTTTAAGTGATGAATCGACTTAGGCTAGCATATCGCGAACAAACTCTGTATTGCATTATTTCTGTAATAATGTTGGAGAAAATAAAATATTTGATCACAAAATCGCGGTGAGTTAAATTATAATAAAATAAATTATTTATGTAAAATTAGTAATAAGTGATATACCTACCTAAAAGTTATGATCGTTTTTAATTTGTTCACCCTGAACGAAATTTCAATATTAGCATTAGTAATTAATATCCTAAGACAAGAATTGACAATTACTTAAATTGAATCGAATTAGCATTAATGCCTATTATTAGTAATTAGGTACACACATATTGAAGAACTCTCAAGAATACGATAAATATTTGCAAAAATAGAAAGCGGAAGCGCACACGTACAACACGTATATTATCTGCGTAAGGGTCAAGTTTAGTGCACTAGATGCAAATTGCAAACAATGAAGTATCCCTTCGCCTTCCTATTGAAGTGTTTTCATACTTACCTAAATAATTTTTAAACGGTCCATTATTTTTGTTATTTTATTGTCGAACAAATTAAAACTAATCCTTAAGAAGTTATGTACAAAAGATGGTTACAATCCGCTTACCCGTTTCAGAGATCCGGCAAACCCACAAACGTTACTCCAGCAGGATTTCGAATAACTTAGCAGCCGAAGAAAATACAAATACCAAATAAGTTGTAACATTTACCTAGTCCAGATAACTAATTATTTAGCTAAAATTTATTTCAATATTACAATTAAAAAAGAAAATGTCTGGCTGCGGTAACGTTTCAAACGTTACCCCAGCAGGAAATGTTTTTTTGAAATAACTAAAAAAGTTTAAGTGAAACAAATTTAAAAATGTGCTTAACAATTACAGAAGGGGAGCAACTAATTATCTATAAAGTTTAAATGACCATTTTCGACATTATTTTGCTGGGGTAACGCACACCTTTGACCAACCATTTCGCTGCCACTTGTCACTGCCCTTAGAACCATTTTTTTACCAATGCTTCGACTCTGCTAAGACCCACTCTGCCTACTGGCTTTTTCTTTCGGGTTCAAAGCCGTACACCCAGGTTTCGTCAGCTGTCACGATATCTGTGACGACGACGTCTGTGACAGCTGACGAAACTTTTTTATCATTTTACGGCACCACTTGGCACGCAGTCGTTTCTGGTCCTCCGTTCAGTCATGCGGTATTCATTGATTGCAAAGCTTCCGAACCTTCAGATGAACATGTAAAATGTTTTGCACTTGTCTCATTCCAATGCCTATTGAAGCACGAAATTGCTGGCAAGTAATTTTTTTGTCAGTTGTCGTCGTCGTCGTATCGACGTACGGTGTCAATATATTTTATATTTTATGGTCTGTAACCGCAGTCGCCGGCCGACCTCCACGTACCTCGTCATGAAGATGATCACGTCAACGTCTAAATTCTCCAAACCACGAATACGCAGATCTGCGACATGGTGCTTCATCACTAATGCCAATTAAAGTCTCTGGCAACTCTCTCAAAATGTTCACGAGTTAAATTAATTTTGATAGTGACATACAATTTTCGAATGGACGTCACAATGAAAAAACAAATGACAGTCTCGGAAATTAAAAAGTGCCATGTTCCCAAAGAGTTCCGTTTTCGAATTCCATAATTGTTTTTTTCATTATTTTATTGTAAGTGGCCAGATCCAGGGACTTCCAGTATGCCCCGCATAAAACTCAATAATAAAAGTAGTTGTAGATTTTGGAACTGTCTCACTTTTTCAATATTTAATTACGTTCTATTACTCTTTTCCAGCTATGCCAGTATGATAAGACTAGCGATAAGTAGCTCACCAAACGGCAAGATGACGCTGAACGAAATATACACATACATCTGCAATGCTTTCCCCTACTACAAAGAAGCGGGCAAAGGATGGATGGTAAGATATGTTCCATTAATTTGATAGGGCTGCTTTCCATGGTACAAGACCATGGACAACCGCACCGAGGCCCTTCGAACGGTCTATCTTCAGATTTAGAAACTTCAGAATGTTATTATTTTAAAACTTAAAGTCAAAGACGAAACAGATTACGGCAGCCGTAATCTGTTTACTGCAGCTGACATAGCAATTGTTAAAATGGCTTTACACAGTGTAAGTTCAGCGTTCCAATAGTGCATCGTTCTTGAGATTCAAAGCCATTCTATATGTGCTGTAATTAGTAGAAGTTTAGACATTCTCATCTCTGTTCATACAGCCACAGACCGATTTCCTATTAGAGACATCGCTACGAATGTATCAGCGGTTTCACTGATGGTTCTCTTCCTAAGGGTGGGTTTGGATTGGTTCGTGTCAGACCATAATGTCACGTACCATGTGAAACGGTGTTTAAAGGACGTAGCCCTTAAAGAATGCAGCACGCGCGACTATTACGAGATATGTATTATCATACTGATAAAGATAAAATTAATGATTTATCTAAATGACGTCAATTTATACAATTAGATACGATTTAACATTCGATTTTAGTGAGCATTTATAGTTTCTGAATTCGTTAGAAAACTATAGTAGCTAAAACATGATTAGAACAGATGTCAAGCACAGTACCAACTAGTGATGTGCCGAATTGTTAAGAATTACCTTAGTCGAGAGTTCGCCAACAATTTTAAACGCATTTGCAAGAATCCGTGTGGTAACGGATTAAGAATACGGAGTGACACCACTCCTATGCATCCCGTATGAGTCGTAAGAGCTGATTAAGGGAACAAACTACGCAGGACAACAGCACTGCAAAGAGAAGGAAAACTTGACACAAAACCTATACCCATCCGTCTGGCCAGCGTGATACGAGGGCTGCTATTTATGTATCCAGAACTGACCAGTTACAGAACAATATTTAAAAAATAATTATAACATTTAAAAAGGAACTCTGGCTGAAGAATACAATTTGTTTCATGTAGCTGTCATTTGTTTATCTTTAGTGACATCATTTTGTCTTTATCACTATGGATTTTCGTGTTATGATTTATTACGATTTTCGCCAAGAGCATTTCGTCAAAAACAGAGCATCAATCAACTCACTTTGACTTTTTGGGACAAAGCACCATCAAAAGCAACTGTATATCACTGGTATAGTGAGTTTGATCGAGGGCGGACTGTGCTCACGGACGAATTTGAAGAAGGTCTCCCTATATCGGTTGCTGTACCTCAGAATGTAGATGCTGTGCGGGAACTAGTAATGCAAGATCGTCATGTTACATATCGCGACATAGAGGCGTCTCTGGGGAATAAGTATGACGATATATAAAATATTACACGAACATTTAGCTGTAAAAAAAATTTAAACAAATTTTGTGCACAATTTGAGAATTGACCAAAACCGGGCTCGTGTCGATTGGTGTAAAAAAATGACACAAAAGTATAATTAGGGTGTGTCAAAACCTGTCTACAATTTTTACACAGGTGATGAATCTTGGATATATGCGAATGGTCCTGAAACTAAACAACAATCAACGGCTTGGGTATTCCAAGATGATCCAAACCCAACAAAAGTCATTTGTTCAAACAGCACTTTGATGCAAATGGTTGCTTGTTTTTTTGGTATAAATGGACATGTATCTACAATGCCACTAGAGGATCCTAAAACAGTTAATTCTGAATGGTACACGACCATTTGTTTGCCAGAAGTCTTTGAAGAAATAAGAAAGAATTGGGCAACTCAGAATTCTTCTATATCATGACAATGGCAGTTAGCCACACATCGGCCGAAACAACTCTGTATTTGGAAGATCAAAAGAGAGAATTAACGAGTCATCCACCGCACAGTCCTGACTTAGCCCCCAACGTCTTCTATTTATTCCCAAACGTGAAGAATAAATTACGTGGTCAACTTTTTTCGAGCCGTGAAGAGGCTGTTGATGCGTTCAAAATGTACGTTTTGGAGATACCACAATCAGAATGTAAAAAGTGCTATGCAAATTGGTTCCAACGTATGCAAAAGTGCTTTGATCATCACGGCGAATATTTAGAAAAGCCATAAAACTATAATAAATGCTATACGTTTGTTTCACTTTGTTATTCCTGATACATAAATAGCAGCCCTCGTATAGTAGGCCAAAACTTCCTTTCTAAGGGGAATCCTATGTCCAGAAGTGGACTATTAATGGCTGTTGATGTAATGTGATCATGTTGTAAGAATCTGAGGGAAGTAAAACTGCTGCGACTGCTGTGCTGAGGTCTCGGGTTCGATTCCCGGGTCAAACCAAATATTTGTATAATCTGCAAATATTTGTTTCAGAGTTTGGGTGTTTTCTATGTATAATAGTGGTTTAAGCGGTTGCCACGACGCTTTCTGCTACGTCGAGTGTTGTGGGTTCAAACCCCACATAGGATAACACTTTGTGTGATCAACAAATAGTTGTTCTAAGTCTGGGATGTTCTTTGTGTCCGTTTCATGTGTTTGTAAAATCTCCCGCAACACAGGATATATTAAAAATTGGATATGTACACAAAAGAAAATAGTATATAAGTATTCTATCAGTCAATCTACCTCTCATAGTACAAGTTCTGCTTAGTTTGAGATAACTTCACTAAAAATCAACTAAAGAATTGCTGAACTTCGGTTTTTTGTGAGACCATGTTATCATTCCAGTCGAGCCGTCCCATTTCTGCCGAAACATGACTCAGTCACGGTAATATAGCGGTGTTACGCTTAATAAGCGAAACACTCCCAATTAACATTCGAACGCTTTTCATTCAAACTAAAATTCTACGTTTAATTTGTTATTTACAGAACTCAATAAGACATAATCTGTCTTTGAATAAATGCTTCATGAAGGTAGCTCGCAGCAAAGACGACCCGGGCAAGGGCTCGTACTGGGCGATGGACACCAGCTACAAGATGGCCGAGGTGGCGCCGCGACGTCGGCGGAGCTTAAGGGTTAGTACTTATACCTAATTAAAATTGATTATTTATAGTGTCCGTGTGGTGACGGATTTAGAATGCACAGTGTCACCACCCCTATTCATCCCGTGGGTGTCATAAGAGCTGATTAAGGGAGCAAACTCCTCAGGACAACAGCACTGCAAAGAAAAGTAAAACTTAATACAAACCCTATACCAATCCGTATGATCAGCGTGGTATAGTAGGCCAAAACCTTCTTCCTAGAAAGGCGAGGCATATGTCCAGCAGTGGACTATTCTCTAATTCTCCGTTTTATTCGTTGGTTCGTTCGTTTTTTTGTGAAGCAGAACTGTGACGTAGAATAATTAAGAATTAAAAAGAACAAATAATATTCACCCTATTCAATCTTAAGTTTGATATAAGTTAAGCAGGTAATCATAATATTCACTTTTGTAAGAACCGCGTTTGAATTTTGGAGGAATCCTGCCTGGCACGGAAGATATATTGTTATGGTATTCATATACAAGTCAAGTGTGCCTAGATTAAAAGCTAAAATTGAGTAGCCCTTCTTATTAAGGCTCTACTTGTTCTGCAACTGTTTAGAGAAATTATAAAAATAAAAATATTCGGGTACAAAATAAATTTGAAACTAAGCTTGCGCCTGCGCAATAATATTCTTTTAACTTTCCTTCAAATGCTTTTGCACTGAGCACTAATTGAATCTACGATCTGCGACTTTATAAACGAGTGCCCTGCGTCGTGCTAACTGGGATATCTGGGTGAGATATTTGACCCCAATAATAATTTGTATAAACGATTCCTAATCGTCTATTTATTGGAATGCACAGATGGCTCCGTACAGTCCTGAGTGCAGTTCGAACAGTAGCGGGGAGGCGGGCGGAGTGCTGCCCAGCGACGCGGCGCCTACGCCACCCGCCACCCCCACCACTCCCACGTCACCCAACGTGCCTGGGGTGGTCAAGGAGGAGACTGTCGTCAAGGAGGAATCTTGTACATTAACTTTTATTATTTCTTAAAAATTTTTTTTTAAGTAATCATACCTTTTGCAGTTTTCAGTAAGCATGTTACTGAACAGTTTATGTATTTTTTAAGTTGTAGAAGTTACTTTGGTATCAAAATTTGATTTCTAAACGATTTTCAACTCTATTCAAAGTTTTACTTCAGTTTAGTTTATTCATTGATGCAGCTAGTATCTTTTAGATTAAGTGATCATGAATATTCCTTGTGTACAGATTCGCGACACACAGATGATGCGCTGTCGGCACTGATGAACGAAGAGCTGATGGCTGACGTGGATATCAGCAGAGGTAACTATTGTATCTCGGTCTCCATATATTTTTAAGTCGGTGTTCGTTTTACCATCGAAATATCTTCTTTTCATTGTTATGAATTTTTATGGCAGCATCTAAAAGAGAATAGCTTTCAATTTTAATTTTGATATTTTAACGAATGAGTACTTCCTTTAATCGGAACAGTTTTATTTTCTATTAAAGATAACACAGGCCAATAAAATTTGTCAAAGTTTCTGTCCCAGAAACCAGAGTATTCTTTCCCAAAGGATTTTGGTGCGCTGAATCCGAATTCGGCCGCAGAATTGCTCTATCACGTCAGGTTTTTAAGACGTTCAAGCAAACTTAACGTCATTTGAAAGCTGAAGACTTGAACTTTAAGATACCCTGTGTACTTTTTTAGGCATAATAAAATTTGATGAGTTACATTACCTCAGAAATTGGCAAAAATGGCGTTTTTTGCACTTTTAGGTTAGAATATCTCAAAAACCTGACGCGATAGAGCAATTCTGTGGCTGGATTTGGATTCAGCGCACCAAAATCTTACTAAAAATATACTTGGATTTCTGGGTAAGAAATTTGTTGACCTGTGTCTACCGTTACTAAGATAAAAGTCTAATCCTTAAATATGGAAAGCGACAACGCAATGCAAACAACAAAAAGGAATCCTTAATTGTGGGTGAGGTCGGTGGTGTCGCGCGTGCGGTGTGTAAGTGTCGGTGTTGTGTGTTGTGTACAGAGCGCTGGTGGTGGGCGGGCGCGCGGCGCCACGTGTGCGGCGCGCTGCGGCACAGCTCGCTGACGGACGACTACGGGAACTTCGTGGTCACGCGCCTCGACGACTGCGACTGCCCCGTCGACGAGCCCGACCCGCCCCTGGCCCCGCCCACGCCCACCGCGCCCGCCGCCCCCGCCGCCCCCGCCGCCCCGGCCCCCTACGCGCCCTACTGGCACGCGCAGATTTTATAACACCCGCAGTGTCCGTGAGCGACCGGCGGTTCTGAGACACCGCTGCAGCCGGAGACGCGTTCTAGCTCTGAACGTCCGTTTTGTTTTTGTGAATATACCGGGAGTATATTCGTCGTACGGAATGTATCTTTATCGAACCGCAGATCATATCACGCAGATAATAAAGGACTCGTCAATTTTTTGGCATCTCTGTATAGATTCCTTTGAATCGTCCACTTTTTGTATTGATAATTTTGATGGACAGTTTACTTAACGGAGAGTGTATCGGCTACGGAATGTATTATAAAAATAAGGCCTGACAAAATACTATGAATTATGGAACATAATTTTGACCGAGGTTTTAAAGATTGATTCTTGTAAGTTGTAATGACATATTTTTCTAATCCGACAAAACAATTTTAAAAGAATATCATCATCGGTGCGATGATGATGATTCTTCCATAATTGTTCAACATCTTTATACAACCTCGGTCAAAAATTATGTGTCGCTATGGATTGTCACTACTAATTTGGTAAATAGAAATTAGGAAATGTGTTCTAAATAAGCTTGACATTTTTGATACGTTTTGAAGTTTCTATACGTAACGTTGAGATGACGGAGACGACACAGATGTTAAAAATGGCAACGTAGTATTTATTGATACAATTGTTAGCAAGTACAACAAGGAAAATATAACGGTGCGGTAGACACCTACGGCACTTTGCGGTAGACACATACTGTATGATGCGGTAGACACATACGGCACGGTGCGGTATACACTTACGGCACGGTGCGGTATACACCTACGGCACGGTGCGGTATACACTTACGGCACGGTGCGGTATACACCTACGGCACGGTGCGGTATACACATACGGCACGGTGCGGTATACACCTACGGCACGGTGCGGTATACACATACGGCACGGTGCGGTATACACCTACGGCACGGTGCGGTATACACCTACGGCACGGTGCGGTATACACATACGGCACGGTGCGGTATACACTTACGGCACGGTGCGGTATACACATACGGCACGGTGCGGTATACACTTACGGCACGGTGCGGTATACACTTACGGCACGGTGCGGTATACACCTACGGCACGGTGCGGTATACACCTACGGCACGGTGCGGTATACACTTACGGCACGGTGCGGTATACACCTACGGCACGGTGCGGTATACACATACGGCACGGTGCGGTATACACTTACGGCACGGTGCGGTATACACATACGGCACGGTGCGGTATACACTTACGGCACGGTGCGGTATACACCTACGGCACGGTGCGGTATACACTTACGGCACGGTGCGGTAGACACTTACGGCACGGTGCGGTATACACCTACGGCACGGTGCGGTAGACACATACAGCACGGTGCGGTAGACACATACGGCACGGTGCGGTAGACACATACTGCACGGTTCGGTAGACACCTACGGCACGGTTCGGTAGACACCTACGGCACGGTGCGGTATACACCTACGGCACGGTGCGGTAGACACATACAGCACGGTGCGGTAGACACATACGGCACGGTGCGGTATACACCTACGGCACGGTGCGGTATACACATACGGCACGGTGCGGTATACACTTACGGCACGGTGCGGTATACACATACGGCACGGTGCGGTATACACTTACGGCACGGTGCGGTATACACCTACGGCACGGTGCGGTATACACTTACGGCACGGTGCGGTAGACACTTACGGCACGGTGCGGTATACACCTACGGCACGGTGCGGTAGACACATACTGCACGGTGCGGTAGACACATACGGCACGGTGCGGTATACACTTACGGCACGGTGCGGTATACACATACGGCACGGTGCGGTATACACTTACGGCACGGTGCGGTAGACACTTACGGCACGGTGCGGTATACACCTACGGCACGGTGCGGTAGACACCTACGGCACGGTGCGGTAGACACATACTGCACGGTGCGGTAGACACATACGGCACGGTGCGGTATACACTTACGGCACGGTGCGGTATACACGTACGGCACGGTGCGGTATACACTTACGGCACGGTGCGGTATACACCTACGGCACGGTGCGGTAGACACATACGGCAAGGTGCGGTATACACCTACGGCACGGTGCGGTAGACACTTACGGCACGGTGCGGTATACACCTACGGCACGGTGCGGTAGACACCTACGGCACGGTGCGGTAGACACATACTGCACGGTGCGGTAGACACATACGGCACGGTGCGGTATACACTTACGGCACGGTGCGGTATACACATACGGCACGGTGCGGTATACACTTACGGCACGGTGCGGTATACACCTACGGCACGGTGCGGTAGACACATACGGCACGGTGCGGTATACACCTACGGCACGGTGCGGTAGACACCTACGGCACGGTGCGGTAGACACATACTGCACGGTGCGGTAGACACATACGGCACGGTGCGGTATACACTTACGGCACGGTGCGGTATACACATACGGCACGGTGCGGTATACACTTACGGCACGGTGCGGTATACACCTACGGCACGGTGCGGTAGACACATACGGCAAGGTGCGGTATACACTTACGGCACGGTGCGGTAGACACCTATGGCTTAAAAAGATTGAGAATGGTAGAAAAACAATATTGATGTTTTTTATACGAATAGACTGTCATAGCGAAGTATGTGTTGAGTTTCTGAATAACGGCCGGGGGGAAATTATATTCCTTTATACATACAAAGTTGAATAGTCTCCGTCATCTATTCGAGCGTAATTTAAAATAGCATAATACACAAAATGTTGTATCAAAAAACTTAATATAACAAAAAATGTAATTAACAGAGAATTATTATAAATCGCCACATATCTACATAATGTATGAATATAGCTTAGTGTAGTTACCTCAGGCGAGATTTTGTTGTATTGAATTTGTACATGAATTTGTATAACATGTAACCTTGGACCATAGCGCAAGTGTTATGTTTGGGTCGTTGTACTACAGAGAGTGGCTGAATGTGCTACTTCCTACTGCTTTCTTTACAAATGAGGCTCGTATAAATTTCAAGTTTGTTTTTACTATTGTAAAGAAACAATTCAATCTGCAAGTTGGTCAAATTAATTATGCCAAGGAACCAAAATTATACACACACACTTATATCCACGACGGGGTCGGTATAGGCGTAATAAACCTTATCATTTTCACGATTCTAAAAAAGATTATTTTTGAAAGGTTGATTATCTCTGCCGATTGCCCTTCCTATTAACCCAAATTAAGTTTATGCAGAAGTATTTAAGTAAAATAAGTACTTAAACTAAAAGAGTTTAAGTACTTATTTTACTTAAATACTTTTAAGCCAAGCTTTTAAGGCAAGAAATATAGAAGTATTTTCAAGTTTAACCATTGCTCTGTCTACAGGCCGATTTTTAAAATGTTTTAAATTAACCTTTGCTGGACTAAAATTTAGCAGGTATACATTTTATGAGAAGGTAGCACATTTGTTAAAAAAAATGGGCGTTGTAATGGAAATATGACAGTATTGGAGCCAGATTGGTGACGAACAGATCTCAGAATGACCAGTATAATATATTATTAGAATTGTGAAAAAAATAATACATATAGTGTGCTAATATTTTATAATTTAAACTGTGCATAATGATTAGTTACGTTTAGTTTGTAACGAAACAATAAAAATATGAGTTAGTCTGTACGAATTTATAATTTAAATATAAAATTATATAACTATTGATGTATTAAATATCACAGTCACACTTATATACGTAATAATTGCTTTTTAGGGAATCATATATCGGCCTATTGATAAATACTTACGTTATGGTGCGTTTGTATTTGACACTTTTTGTTATACAACCGTTAGACGCGATCAGCAGTAAATAGCATATTATGTTCTGTAATGTACTTTTATTCAACGAATATTACTTAATATAAACAGTCGTTATTGATTGTTAAACTTGTAATGTTATATAACAAAGAGTGTACATGTTATGTAACAACAAGCGCTAAATGTTATATAACAAAAAGCGTATGTGTGTACACAAACGCTGTTAGGTTCCGCTTGCCTAAAGTTTAAAGATAACTTTTAGTTTATTTTACTAAGGTGCAAATACGTATTTTTGTGCCATTAATCGCGGGTTGGAGAATGGCATTGAACACTTAGATTATAAATAAAACTGTCCCATATCTTATTGAAAAATGTGTTCATGAAAACGTTTTTTAGAAGTTGTACCTACATACACGTGTAATGTTAGTAATGTGTATATAGTAGAGATTATTTAATATTAACTGACAACAGATGGGATGTTATATATTGTAACATTTTTACCCGTTTATAAAAGTAATTAATGCCACGAATTTTTGTATTTAAATGCTCACATATTTGTGGTACAAAATGTTGCTTGTGTGATTCGGTCCTTGCGGTGTGTTGCCGACGTGAATATGTGAGCATTATGTATTTTTAAGTGAATGATAAATTTGGACCGCGTTCACGATAATTGATTGACATTTAGTACAGATTGTTAAAGAAAAAAATCTTACGTGTTTTGTTATATTTGTTTTTACAACTCCCACATTAGGAATATATCCTGTGTTACAGGGACTTAATAGGCACAAAGAACACCCATACTCCGAACAACAATTAGTGGATCATACAAAGTGTTGTCCCATATGTGGATCGAATTCACAACACTTAGCGCAGTAGCAAGCGGTGACCGCTTAAACCACTACACCATCCGTGCAGTTATAGTGGGTGCATATTAAATGAGAATTATAACGGAAGGGTACAAATCCGAGTGTCAAAAATGTTATTTCATTTGATTCAACCGCTAAAGCTGGTAACGCATTTGTGACTCCTCAGTTGCAGGTGTCGATAGGCGATGGTAGACACTTACCATGTGACCCATTTCCCTATTTGTATACACAGGAGAAAATCACAGTGAACTGTGATTTATCATTCGAATTTTGCGTACGTAGGTCTGGGTTGCAAGGTAGGTAGGTTAGACGCCATTTAACAG